TTAATAAAAGTTGTTTTCTTGCAGGGTTGGATATCCCTTTGTATTCTGTAGTTTACAAACCATGACCACCTGTAAGTTACTGCAATGCAATAGTTAAAGGGGTCATATGATGCAAGTTTTCCTTTCTGTTTGGAGTGTTACAAGCTCTTGGTGCATAAAGAAGATCTGTAAAGTTGCAAAGACTAAAGTCTCAAATCCAAAGAGATATTCTTTATAAAAGTTAAGAGTCAACCACGCCTACCTAAAACGCCTCATTCTAACACGCCCCCACATGGCTACGTCACGATGTGGAAATATTAGCATAATGCCAGCAAAGAAAGAAGGCGTGGTTTCAGGAACAGCAGTAGTGTTGATGCAGCGGGCTTGAACTGATGGTAAAACTAACGACATTATTAACTGTCTTGATAGTTACATTGAAAGCTGAAGCTCGCGATTATGGTAAGGGGCGTTACATTTCCGACGCGTGCTTGTGGTGTTCGGCCAATCACAATGCACTGGGTCAGCTGGCCAATCAGAGCAGACTGCGCTTGTCAAAGGAGGGGGGCTTTGTTGAAAACGACGCGTTTGACAGAGGCGGGGCATAGAGGACCTACAATAATGTACAGTATTTGAAAAATAATGTGTTTTTTGAACATTAAAGCATGTCAACATATTCTGTTACACCAAATACACAAAATAATGATCTTTAAAATAGCATCATATGACCCCTTTAAATCGTTCACTTCATATCTGTCCTGAACATAAAAATATGTTAACAATTAAGCTGGGATAAAATCACATAATTTTGGTTTGGACTAATTTACATTCTTTACTAAAAACTTCATATAAACACATTCACAACAAATGTGAAACATGCCAAATGTAACACTGCACTTCCTCTCAAGTCTGAATTTCATGACTGGCATAAACTACACAACAATATATGCTATACGTATGTAGCTTCCATTGCAATTTTTAAGAGTTTTGTAGAATTTATTATCTCACTTTATAGAATGGGCATCTTGTACAGTATGTATACTGTACATCTGCAAAGTGCACATAATTCAAAGAATTTACTTTTTGCTGACCAAATTAATTTGTAAACTTTATCCCCCAACAGCTGGCGTGAACAAACAGAAGCTCCCGCGTGCAATCCAGACAACATCTATGATAATAGAATGCTGTGAAATAAATTACTGTTTTTAATGTTTGTTTGAATTTTCTATTTTTGTTTTTAAATGAGTGTAATGCCTCCAGCAAATTTTCATAAACGACTTAGTATTATACAATGAAAATGCTTCTTCTATGTACCATTTTACCAAATAAAACAACTTAAATGCAATTTTATACAGATTTATAGCCATTGATAGAAGGCCTTGCCTTATAGGGACTGACATAACAGACTTTACTACACACTAAAAAGTCTTTAAAAATATGACCCAATATACTGTGTAAATATGAGGGATTTTCCCACATTTTATTTTTCAAGGGCATTTTAATTTATGCATTGCACTTTAGGGTTGATGGAAATGTCTATAAACTGAATGGAAAACATACTGGCATTGATCAGCATGCTTACACTGAGCATATCAAAATATGATAAACAGAAACTTGCTTGGCATATTTGATGTGTTTATATGTAAATAAAAGCTTAAATTAAATCTGTTCATCATATAAAGCGATCATGTCTATCATATATTTTTATATATTTTTTAAAATATATAAATTTTATATATTTTTATATATTTTAATAATATTTTTATTGCAATACACAATTTAATTGGGCTATGGCTATGGTCAAAAATTGATTAAATAATTTCATAAATTAAAATAATATAAAAAATAGCCGTTTGCAACATCAAACGACAAGCGGCATAATCTGCTGTTTTAGTACAGAGGAAATAAATGGAAATGACAACGGAAGCCCTGCAAATTCAAGGTAAAAATGTCCACATCCACTCTTTTGTTAAAAGTAAGGTGGATAAAAATACTTTTTCTGGAAAACAGTGACAACAATGCCGATTTGTTTATCATTTTCAACTCATTTGAATGCATTGAGCTTCCAGTCTTTTTGGCCATTTGTTCATCGTTAACATTAACAAGTTTGCAAGGCTTAAAAACAAGATCAACAAATGTAAATTGGAGTGAGGCAGCAATGACCCTCTGCAAATCATTGTTGTTGAGCACTGCTGATACCTCACTCTGCCAAAAAAAACATCTGTTTGGTTTTGATAATCATGTATATGCGCTGAAACCATGCGTTTTAAAGCCATATCAGTTTAAACTTCTGATATAGTGTTTTCTGATATAGGGAACACATCCGAAGCACGCGCACAGAAAGCACGTGAGTACTAAAGTAAGTTCTGTTTCATGTCTTATTGCACTTAAACTGTCAAATACACTGAAGTTTATGTTTAAAACACACATAAGTTACAAAAACACAGTCGGTTATGTGTGTGAAGGTAAACAGCTGGGAAAGAAATTGCATGTTTATATTAGATCTGTGCATTAAGTGACAGCAGTGCCAAAACATGCAGATTAAGGGGCGTGATATTATAATAAGACCCCCTTCCTGCTCACCAAGGGAGCGAAATCTGAGCGCCTCGTTTTTTTTCACAAGCTTGCAGAGAAAGGCTTACCAAAACAAAGTTACTGAGTTGTCCTTTTTCACGGTTTCTGGGAGATGCACTTAAATGCGGAAAAAGTCAGATTTTCGCGATATGTCCCCTTTAAGTAAGTGTGTGTGACTGAGAGAGACGATAATGGTGGAGTATTTAAAATCACTTTTCATATAAATAAGTTTTGTTTTTTTAATAGAAAGCAGTTATGGCTGATTTGCTATTTTGATGTGCTTGGTGCAGTATTCAGAATATGATCTACTACAGTATATGTGCATGTATGAAGTCCATTACTGTAGTCTATAATGTAATGCTCACTTAAGCCTGCAGAGGGCAATGTGTGTCTCTTAAAATACTGGAGTGTCCAGACTGCTCACACTTCTAATATCTTAAGGTCTTTACCTTTCTAAACCTCACTCACAAATGATCTTCCCCCAGATCAGCCGCACACACTGCTCATGCTGTGAAAAACCACTGTCACACCCTGTTCATCACATCATATGCACATCCTTGGAATCACAGAATCTCTTTATAAATTAGTAAATCTCAACCTTTTGACGCAAAGGAGTGTCGATATGTGTAAATTAATTAACCACAATACATTTTTGATTCCAGAACTTTCAAGAACCACTGTTCCAAATATTGACAATAAATAAATAAAAGTAATATTAAAAAAAATTTTTTTTTTAAAGTTTTACATTTGAGTCCTGTGATGAACTGATCATCTGACCAGGGTGTTTCCCCTACCAGAGATGCTGGAATAGTCCTCCGAATCTCTGTGACCCTACAGAGGATAAGCGGTTTGGAGAAAGTATGCATGGATGTATAGTGTTACACTGGTAGACACTACTGTCAAACCGTTTTTTTTTTTTTTTCTCAGGAGGAAGATCCAGCAGGCTCGACAGTCAGCTCTGGAGTCTTCAGTGCTCAGCTCTGCTCTGATGATGATGATGATGATGGATTGTCATGAATGATGGATGATCATTCCAGCATAACCTCCATCCTCACGAGAGCAACCTACAGACCAGTTCCTGCTGAAGACTGAGAGAGGAATCTGTGGAATGGGGTGTGCATGAGAGTTGCCCGTTGATTACGGAAAAGAACTGATGCTTCATTTTTGGACACACAGTAACTTCTGTCCTGCTGTAAAACTGATAATAGATAGTGAAACTCCAGTCTTTTGTTTTCCACTCTTGAGCTTTAACTGCTACTCCACATCACCATAATTACTGTATAAACCAGATGTGCAATCTCAGGTTAAATTATTTTATGTCCATAAAATGGGAAAATGGCTTTTCACACACCGAGACACCTAACATTTTCACTGTCACTGAGTCAAATAGATTTCAGACATGGATTTTTCATTAATCTAGACATCAGTTCCACCTTAGAGGGCCTTTTGTGAAAGAGCTTTAATGATCACTTTAATTTGAGTGTAAAAAAAAGAGAGTTGAAGCCATTTAGTAACTGAATTGAGAATATTACTGACCTAATTTGAGACCATAATGTTTTAATTTTAATGTTTTAATTTAACTTAAGTAATTAAGGATAAATTGAAGAAATAAGAAACTTTCTTTTGTATAAAGTGAATGAATTCAGATGGAGGGAACAGGATTGAATTTAGTTTTAAGTTTCCAATCACTGATTATGAGCACTGATGATTTCATTAGGTGAATGTTAAGAGAGGGAAATTAAAATTGCAGTTTTGTACATCTTTCCAAAAATGTCAGTTAGCAGAGAGTATTCATAGTTTTTTACAGTGTAACATAGCAAAAGTTAGTCAAAGGGAAATGGCATTAATAATCCAAAACATGCATCCTACCTGTGTTCCTGTTTTACAGCCCTTAGAGATGAGAAATCAAGGTTTAGAAAGGAATAATACTTCATTCTCTGCTTAGACTTCAACTTTTAATAGGTGTTTACAGAGAAAATGTATATGTTATCTTAAAAATAACTAACTCATGTAGCTAACTGTTTTCAATTTATTTAAAATGTATGCAAAATTGCACGTCTCTGACATTTTGCACAGATAACATTTCCTACTCTGGCTCTTCAAAAACAACTGTGTGAAGGTAAAAGGTCTTGTGGCCTGTGCTCATATGAGTTGTTTTGCAGTGAGCTAAACTCGAAACTATCTATTTGATGGGGTGTTTTTAGTCTTCAAACTGCATTTCCATCCTCTACATCTAACAGCAGCTTTCTAATACATCTGCTATTCTAAGATTTAAAAGTAGCAAATATGACTCCCCATTGCTCACTGAAGGCCTCTATATGAGCACAGAATTAGACCATATTTCCTACTTCCGCATTAAATTTGGAGTAACTGAAAACAGCTCTGTGAAAGTGAAGTGATGTGGCCTGTGCTCATATAGAGTTCAGCTGTCCTGCTGTGAGCATCTGTATATGATGAGGAGTTTTCAGCATTCTTATTTCCAACTCCTGTATCTTCTAATGGCAGCGTTATTAGAATGCAAAGGTAAGCGTATTTTATATGAAGTCAAATTCATTTAACCAACATACAAACAAGAGATATGCATATAATCAATGTACTGTGGGTGTGTAAATGTGACAAGGGTGTGACATGAATATGATCAATGTCATTCATAAGTTACGTAATTGTTACTTATTTGTAAAAAAAATTGTTAACAATTGTGCTAAAAAAAATGTGTTCTGTTAGCTAGTGTGTAAAGCTTAAATTTTAAAGCAAGAAAGTGTGTCACTAAGGACAGTCTTTGTTTTAATTTGTGTGTGTGTGCGCAAAGATTAACCCAGACAATATATTTATCCAAAATTGATATAAAAGTCAGTTTATAAATTTAATATTGTTATACACAGACAATCAAGAGGATCATTTGATTTTTTATTTTTTTTTAATTGTAAACCCTTTGGTGGTTTCCTGTCTTTCTATGTCCCAGTTCTCTCAGGATGTCTCATTTCTCTTTTTTATTCCCTTTTACCCGAAACAGAGAGACCCTGCAAGCAGGTTCATCAGTTGAACATAAGCCATTTACATGGTGACAGCATGTCTATTTCTTGCCAATCAACAACCCACCCGCTGGATTCTCTAACAGTCAAACTACACAGTATCAACCCGGTTAAAGACATTCTGGTGTATCCAGACATCTCTCCAGCATCAGAGCACCAGAGATGGTCTGTGAGGAAAGATGATGGAAATGTTACACTTGATCTGAAAGACATCAGATTATCCGATGGTGGTCTTTATGACTGTCAGGTCTACAAGGATCAGGACTGCCTTCATGCAACACAATTTTACCTGAGTATTATACGTGAGAATGCAGATTTTTCAACCAAGCTAATAACCACCATTGGAGAGCCATATACATGTATAATATGACTACTTCTGTGTTTCTCTTGTTTCAGAGTGTAAAACTTTGAACTCTGTCCATGCAACGCTAAACTCGCAAGTGTTACTGCCATGCTCTGAACATCCTCTACAAAACAGAACTGAACGAGTCACTTGGAAAGTCATTAATGGTCACCAATTAACAGATATAACCCAGTATCGCGCTCCAAACAAGCCCTCAAGCAGCACAGAGAATCAGAAAGAGCTTTATTGCCAAGTGTGTTTACACACACAAGGAATTTGTCTTGGTGACAGAAGCTTCCAGTGCAGAAAGTGCCGACATGGTGCAGACATACACATAATTTAAGGTAATAAAATGAAATATAACACTAATAGTAAAGAGAACAGACAATAATAATAATTGTAACAGTTAATAACAGCTGCGGTAACATTTATGTTACCAACAACATGACTGTGCTGTTGCTTTTGACAGATCAATAGACAAGTTAATTTACATTTTAACAACTTACATTTTGGCCACAAAATTGCCAGGTGGTCTAATTTTGCTCCATCAACAAAAATACTTCCAAACAAAGTCAAAGCAGAACGAAGTGTTGCGTCTTGAGTAAGGCGTTATACACAGACAATCAAGAGGATCATTTGATTTTTTATTTTTTTTTAATTGTAAACCCTTTGGTGGTTTCCTGTCTTTCTATGTCCCAGTTCTCTCAGGATGTCTCATTTCTCTTTTTTATTCCCTTTTACCCGAAACAGAGAGACCCTGCAAGCAGGTTCATCAGTTGAACATAAGCCATTTACATGGTGACAGCATGTCTATTTCTTGCCAATCAACAACCCACCCGCTGGATTCTCTAACAGTCAAACTACACAGTATCAACCCGGTTAAAGACATTCTGGTGTATCCAGACATCTCTCCAGCATCAGAGCACCAGAGATGGTCTGTGAGGAAAGATGATGGAAATGTTACACTTGATCTGAAAGACATCAGATTATCCGATGGTGGTCTTTATGACTGTCAGGTCTACAAGGATCAGGACTGCCTTCATGCAACACAATTTTACCTGAGTATTATACGTGAGAATGCAGATTTTTCAACCAAGCTAATAACCACCATTGGAGAGCCATATACATGTATAATATGACTACTTCTGTGTTTCTCTTGTTTCAGAGTGTAAAACTTTGAACTCTGTCCATGCAACGCTAAACTCGCAAGTGTTACTGCCATGCTCTGAACATCCTCTACAAAACAGAACTGAACGAGTCACTTGGAAAGTCATTAATGGTCACCAATTAACAGATATAACCCAGTATCGCGCTCCAAACAAGCCCTCAAGCAGCACAGAGAAACCCCCGAACCCCCTGTTTGAGAGAGCGAGACAACTAAAGAACGGATCTTTGCTTATAAGAAAAGCGGTCGCCACTGATGAATTGTGGTATCATTGCAGAGTGAATGAAAAAACCTGCTATGAGATGAGGCTGGTGATGAAAGGTGTGTTTTTAAAGCATTATTTTGTAATCTAATCTAATTGAGCAATAATCACATGCGCAAGAGTGCTGTTGTCCCAAACATCATTCGGCCACAAATCAGAATCAGGAAGAGCTTGGTGACAGAAGCTTCCAGTGCCGAACAAAGTACAGACATAGTG